TACTCTCAACCACTGCACCACCAGCACTATTTTATCTTGCAAATCTGAAACTGTGTACCCATTAAACAAATCCCCTCCCCCATCCCTGGCCACCACCATTCTATAACTACTTTAGAGATCTTATATAAGTGAAATCATGCAGTATTTGTCTTTTTATGACTGGCTTATTTTATTTAGCATAATGTCCTCAAGGTTCATCTGTGTTGTAGCCTGAGACAGGATTTCCTTCCTTTTTAACGCTGAATAATATTGCATTGTATTCATAGACCACATTTTGTTTATCCACCCTCTGCTGATGGACATTTGGGTTGCTTCTGCCTCTTGGCTATTGTGAATAATGCTGCTATGAACATGGAAACACAGATATCTGTTTGAGACACTGCTTTCACTTCTTTTGGCTACTTAGAGGTGGGATTGCTGGATGGTATAGTAGTTCTTTTTAAAAATATTTATTTGTGGCTGCATTGGGTCTTCGTTGCTCCACGCGGGCTTTTCTCTAGTTGCAGTGAGCGGTGGCTACTCTTCGTTGCGGTGTGCGGGCTTCTCATTGCGGTGGCTTCTCTTGTTGTGGAGCACAGGCTCTAGGCGTGCGGGCTTCAGTAGTTGTGGCATGTGGGCTCAGTAGTTGTGGCTCGCGGGCTCTAGAGCGCAGGCTTAGTAGTTGTGGCGCACAGGCTTAGTTGCTCCGTGGCATGTGGGATCTTCCCTGACCAGGGCTCGAACCCGTCTCCCCTGCATTGGCAGGCGGATTCTTAACCACTGCACCAGCAGGGAAGCCCCCATATAGTAGTTCTATTTTGAATTTTCTGAGGAAACTTCATACTGTCTTCCATAGCAGATGCACCATTTTACAATGCCACCAATAGTGTATAAGGGTTCCAATATCCTTGCCAGCAGTTGTTTCACTGGTGTGTTTTGATAATAGCCATCCTAATGGCTGTGTGATATCTTATCGTTTTTTTTAATTGACGTATAGTTGAATTCCAATGTTTTGTTAATTACTGCTGTACAGCAGTGACTCATTTATACATACATACACATTCTTGTTCATATTCTTTTCTATTATGGTTTATCACAGGATATTGAAAATATTCAACAGTTCTCTGTGCTATACAGTAGGACCTTCTCCTACTGTTGTTTATGCATTCTATATATACCAGTTTGCATCTACTAACCCCATACTTTTCCACTCCTACCCTCTCCCACCCCTCGGCAACCACCAATCTATTCTCTATGTCCCTGACTTTGTTTCTGTTTTGTAGGTAGGTTCATTTGTGTCATATTTTAGATTCCACATATAAGTGATGTCATCTGGTATTTGTCTTTGTCTTTCTTACTTCACTTAGCATGATAATTGCAAGTTGCATCCATGTTGCTGCAAATGGCAGTATTTCGTTCTTTTTTATGGCTGAGTAATATTCCATTGTGTATATATATATATATATATATATATATACCACATCTTCTTTATCCATTCATTTGCCAATGGACATTTAGGTTGTTTCCATGTCTTGGCTATTGTGAATAGTGCTGCTATGAACATAGGGGTGCATGTATCTGGTTTTTTTTCTTTTGTATAAAACACAGTCCCTACCATTTATTTA